AGGGTAGGGCCAGGGATGCAGCTCAGTGGCATAGCGCCTGCCTGGCAAACGCAAGGTCCTGAGTTCAATTCCCAGTACACACACACACACACACACACACACACACACACACACACACACATTCCAGGGTAAGTCTGAGCATCTTAAAGAGGAAGCATAAAGACCTCTCTCATTTCAGCACCGCATCTTTTTTGTTTTGGTGAGGAGTGGGCAGACAAACCCTAACGGCCAGTTCCTACCAGGAATGAAGACCCTGACCTGGCCAAGGCCACTTCTCTGGTAGTCTTCTAGGAGGTGCAGACATCACATAAAGCCTTGCAGAGAGGGGACCTCTACCATTTCTCCCTAATTGGGGCATCTACTGAAAAAAAAAAAATACTAGCCAAAACATGTTTAAGAAATAACCCTGAATTCAGCAGTAAAGACGACAGAGTGATTAAGTTCTCCCTGCAACAGGAACTAACAAACTTCTTTTAAAAACTTGTACCCTCAGAATTCCCTCATGTAAGGCTGGGAATGCCGCTCAGTGGTAGAGCGCTTACCTGGTGTATGTGCACGGCACCCCCCAAATTTCTATACAGCAAGGTTAATTTTCAACTTCTAGAGATCGCGGAATCTATTAGTGGTCCAGAAATTCATTAAATCAAAAAATATTTACTGAGCAACTGCTATTCTAAAATACAGGTTTTTTGTTTTTTTGGTACTGGAAATCGAACTCAGGAACTTGTACCTGCCAGGTGGGCGCATGTGCTGCTCAGCTACATCCCTGGCTAAAATACAGATTTTGAGATAAAAATCCTTATCACCGGAGGAAAAAGACAAAGGAGTTTTTAATCAGAAACCTACTTCTGAACTTTAATGTTTGAAACAAGCCAAACCCAACTGCGCACTTCCACAGTAGTCCTGGTGCCCCTAAGGTGTAATTTATAGCTGGAGTCACCTTGATCCTCTGACCTGGGCGCCCTGCGAGCGATGGCGCCCCCACAGGGCACTGTGGAGGCAGCTGGGAGGACCTCAGGGGACACGGTTTCTAATTACTATTACACGACTGTTTAACTCATCTCAACGACCTACAAATGTGGGAGTAAGTCTTCCACATGTTTTCTGGCAGTTGAGGAATACTGCTTAGCAGCCCAGAGGATCCCACAAGCGGCTCCTCTGCTCACTCACAGCAGACACTGCATAGGAACAGAAGCCGTGAGAGGGCATTCCAATTCCACCCTTAACGCTCAATTAGCCTCCTCCCGAAAAACACACTGAGGAAAGTAATTCCAGCTCCCTGCCAAACCCTTCCCACTCCCATGTATTTCCTCCGCTCACCCCAAGTAAAAAAGGTCCTGAATTATCTGCCCTAAGCCTGGTGAGTGATGGGGGCTGCTTCCTTACATCCTCAACGTTAAGGAAAACCACTTCAACCCATCTTGCTTAAAGCCACCTGTCAGATAATACTGTGCTTCCCTGAGAACTGTTATGGTTTCTCTTTTTACAGCTTATCAGGGACAGCACTCTTTGTGTTCCTTTCCCTCCCAGAATGCGCCCGGCTTAGCCTGTACGACACTGTAGGATCGTATCTGCCCCGATTCCTCACTGAATGACCTACACCACTTCCTACCTTATCCCTGGTCCTACTATGGTTCTTTGTAAATTTCAAGACATAAATCATTTTGTCTTTCTCTCTTTATTTTGTTATTAAAGAAACTTTGCATTATCATCTCATCAAACGAATGTCTTAAGCTTTAAGATTTTTTCCCTCAAATTTTAGTGATACAAGTATTTAAGATCAAGGACCCCTTCAATTCGCTGATGAACTCCTCTCACAGCTAAAAGATAACATGATCACAGGTGTTACTGACATAAACTGAACACTTAGAGGCAGGGACATAAAAGCTAAACATCACACCAATGCTAACTTTCTATTACCAAGAGTTATACCTGCAACGTCACCATGGAGTAACTTACAAGTCACACACACACCTCAACAGCTCAGTGTTGGGGGCGGTAACTATTACTTCCCATTGTATAGGTTGAGAAACGGAGATGTGTACTTGCCAAGAGCACAAAATCAGCAGCGGCAAGGGGGAACTAGAACCTGCACTTGCTTGACTCAAAAGCCACTGTACACTGTCTCCAGAGGATGTTGATATATTTTTCGCTTTGTTAATGAGGTTTTAAGAGAAAACAATTTTGCCAGGCATGGTGGCGCCAGCCTGTAATAATAGAGGCCGGGGTAGGAGTATGGTGATGAGTCTGAGGCGGCTCTAGGCTGCACAGCGAGTTCAAGGCCAGCCCGAACTACACAGTGTGACCTGCCTCGAACAAACGAACAAAAATTACATTTAATCGAATACAAATTATGTAATACATAAAAAGAAGGAATCATTCAGGTACCGCAGCACACTATAATCCCAGCTACTTGGAAGGCTGGGACAGAATCCCGAATTCAAGGTGCAGCTGGGCAACGCGGGGAGACCCTATCTCAAAATACAAAATGAAGAAGGGCTGGAGACGTATGTAGCTCAGAGACACAGTGCTTGCCTCGCATGCATAGCTCCTAGGTTCAAGCCCCAGTAGAATAATGTCCAAACCATGAGAAGTTCGGGTTTTCATACATCTACTTCCAATCCAACAGTCTTAAACCCTCCAGTGCATACAAAGATCTAGCTAGCATGGATATTTGCTTTCCAAGTCCAAATCATACAGAGCATTACATGAATAAACACAATGTCAAGAAGTGACAGGTGAGAAATGAAAAATGGGGTAGGGAAGGCAATATAACTTGTGGTAGAACAAATCGAAGTCTCTAAACAAAGAAACAGCTTTTAGACTTGAAATTCATAAAATATTCCTCATGTCTTTTGTGACCCCGAGCCGATCACATCCTTTCTGCACTTCAGCTTCCTGGTCTGTAAATGGTGCTGAGAGAATCTCAGCAGTCCTCTCCACCTCACAGGGCTGCTCTGCTGTTAAGATCAAAAGACTTCTATGGAAGGATCCTGTATGAAAGGACCACATACATAAAAGGGACTATTAATAATTGGGTATGGTGCTTAAAGGGTAATCCACTCTGCCTTTTATAACTAACTTTCCAGACGTTCTCAAAACTGAGGCTTTACTGTTAAAAAATTTACCATTACGGAGACCTAGCCCTTAATTGAGGTAGGAAAGGGGCGGAAGCTGCGACACTGGTCAGCAAAAAGAAAACTAATTTGGATATTAACAGCCAAGAAAAGCCAGCCACCTGAAGGACTGCCAAAGTTATCAGAACCTCATTTACAATGCAAAGGTAAGGAAAAAAAAAAAAAAAAGAGAGAGGTTTGAAGGCTGCCAGCCAAGAAGCACCGGAGAATTACAATTAATATCCGCAAGGCATCCAACAGTATGGATGTGCTGATTCCCTGAAGTTTGCTCAGGCTCGGCCGGTAAGCTTGGAAGGAGCGGACAAACGCCGCGCTACGAAGTTTTCAGTTGGTGAGGTTTGTTCCCAACCATACACAAACCATTCACCTTTCTGTTAAAAAATATTTAGGAAACGGGTTCTAACACGGGCAATGCACTTGAGAGAAGACACGAAGACTTCAATTTTTGATGAACAGGCGAAAACCAACTCCCTGGTTCAAAGGCTGTTCAAAGCCGCGGGCTGGACGAGGGAGCGGCGCAGACCAGCGCGGCGGGGAGAAGGGGCTCAGCCTCCCTCGCGCTGGACAAGGGTGCGCTCCAGCCCCTCCGTAATTCACTTCACCCCTCGGACGCCCGCCGCCCGGGACTCGAGAGGCGGGCAGCGCCAGCGGTGGGACGGCGTGGCGGCGATCCGGACAGGCTCCGGCCCCCGCAGGGTAATGGGAGTTACCCCGCTGCAGCCCTCCATGTGGCGCTCCGGCCGGAACGGCAGAGACCAGACAATGAGCGGTCTCTGCGCAGTTCCCCGCCGATTGGCTGCGCTCTCCCTCGGAAACCCCTGATGTCATGGGCTTGGAATGCAGGCGGGGAGGGAGGAAGGAGAGGATTTGGGCAGGGGGCGCCTCTCGTCTCTTTCCCAAGCCCGAAGTCCCAAGATAAACCGGCGCATTCTCGTGCCGAGCGGCACAGCCGAGCAGGCACCCAGCACCCATCACGCTAAAGAGCCGCCCGCTTCAGCAGACACCCCCTGCACGAAAGCAGCCCGCCAAGACCCTCCCGACGTGACAGTGACGCGACGCAAACTGCCCGAGCGGCAGGCCGGGCTTTGTCTCGGCTCCCGCGGGAGCAGCGGGGCGGGGTGGCGGCCCTCCGCGCTCTCCCGGCCGGGCAGGCGAGGAACAATGAGGCCGAGGCGCGCAGGACCTCGCCGCAGCGCCCCCTCCCCGGGCGCGGGAACAAAGCCA